GCTGTTGACGCATGCATGTTTGTATGTATGTATGTGTGTGTGTTTAATTGTTTGTCTGTATATATGTATGTAAATGCGATTTATGTATGTATGGTTGTATGTTTATATGTATGAATATATGTATTTACGTGTGTATATATGTATGTATGTATGATCGTACATGCATGTATATAAGCTTGTGTGCTGATATGAGCTATGTTTCCTTTTCCCATCTTTTCAGAATTGTTTCAAGTTGTCAAAGGAGGCTCATACATCTGGAGTTATCACACCGCTTTGATTCGTATCTGGGCAGGACCTTTTCCTCTGGTCCAGCTGTTTAACTGTAAAACAGCAGAGGTAGTGTTGACCGCCTTCTATATCACGCGATTAATTGGCTTCCCTTACTGCATGGGCTGACTGTAATTTTACCTGGAAACGGCTTACCCTTCCATAATGGTGATGCGTAGGAAAATCCCATAGTACATTATATAGGAAAATGCAATGGTAGTATTTTGGTATCATCTTGTTTATCTTGTCTTTAGGTCCAGTTAGCTCCTCGTCACCAGCAGCCACACAGAGCCAGCTGGGCGATGCAACTCAATAGCATTAGTGGGTCAAGATTTACCACAACTCAATGCTACTGCCTGCCTGCGCCTGGTTCCTTGCCTACGTCTCTGTATTGTTGGTATATGTGCTTTTTCCTCTCTCTCCTCCCACTGTTTATTTGTCCGCTTTGCTTTTTCCCCATTTATTTGTCTCTACTGTGATGGTGGGTAGTAGTAGCATGTGAAGGAAGATGAATTTCAGTTTATAATGATGTCTCTTAGGCTCGCTTCCACCTTTGCTCACTGGAGAAGTTTGTTGCTCCATTATCAGATATGTACTTGATAACACACACACACACCTGTGTGTATATGTGTATATACATACATATATATATATATATATATATATATATATATATATATATATATATATATATATATATATATATTCATATATATATATATATATATATATATATATATATATATATATATATATATATATATATACACATATATATATACATAGATATATATATATGTGTGTGTGTGTGTGTGTGCGTCCAGGGTGCATTCTGTGTAAAACTCACGCCGGAGGTACCCCAATAGCTCATCGAGTTTACGCCAACGTTCCCGATAAGAGTAATTTTTCATAAAGTATGACACCAAGTTATAGCCAAGTAGATTGTTGATGGCAGCGCACACTTTTTAATAAGAATCGTGATTTTTTCTCCCAGCCTCGTGATTCTTAAAAATTTGGGATTTTGAGCCTCATAGGTAAAGGAATAAAACAAACGACTATGTATAAGTGCTTGCGTTCATCTTAAAAGCTTGAAGAAGCAGTAAAAATACCAGGGAATACGCCAGGGAATATAATTTAGGCTAAACCCACGCCGACAGGAAAGCTAACTCCACGCCGGAGATCTTCGGGCCGAAGTGCATGAAATGCACCCTGGGTGTGTGTGTGTGTGTGTGTGTGTGTGTGTGTGTGTGTGTGTGTGTGTGTGTGTGTGTGTGTGTGTGTGTGTGTGTGTGTGTGTATTGGTATAGATATATATGTGTATATATATATATATATATATATATATATATATATATATATATATATATATATATATATATTATATATATACATATATGTATAATATATATATAATATATATATATATATATATATATATATATATATATATATATATATATATATATATATATATATTTATGTACATGTATACACACACACATATATATGTATATATACATACTTATACATGATGTATATATATATATACATATATATATATATATATATATATATATATATATATATATATATATATATATATATATATATGTGTGTGTGTGTGTGTGTGTGTATGTATGTATGTGTGTGCATATACTGTATATATGTGTGTACCCTAACTCTCCTATGGCCAAGCCCCAGCCAGTGCAGGGCCTATATATGGCTCCTTCCATGTCCCGAAATCTGCCCCACCCATTCCTGTCGCGCGGGTGGTGTTGCGCTGGAAAAGGCGCTGGGGAAGACGGCCTTTGGTAGACTTTGCGTGCATGTGCGTGTGTTCTTATCGGATTTTATTTACATTCTGTGTGTTTGAGTGTCTGTGCATGTATGTACGAGTCACCTCTTCACAGAGATAGCACGTTGCACAGTCGTGTGTGTGTGCGTCCCTGCATGTGTATGTCTGTGCATGTGTATGTGTGTGTGTTTGAGTGCATGTGTGTGTGTGTGTGTGTGTGTGTGCACGCGTGTGCCCAAAGAGAAAAACGAAAAGATGATAAATTTCCCAGAAGCCTAATTTCCGTTCTTTGTGCATTTATAGAAGTGTTCCAGCGAGTCATGGGATTAACTCATGCCTGGACCTGGAGCCTCTCCTTTGTGCGCCTCTGGCTGGCTCTCGCCCCTTCGTCTTCCTCGTTCACGCGTCCGAGATCGAGGTGGTCTCTGTTAGGACGGG